AGGTGAAGAGCAGCGCGGTTAATTACAACAATACGGTATATAGTGCAGAGGAATTTGCTGAAAAGTACGCGCAAAGTCGCTCTGAATTGGACCCGAAGACGTTCTGGCGTAAACCCAACAGACCCATGAAACGCGTTCTGCCTCTGGTGTCCCACCACCTGACTTTCATTGCTTGATGGATCTACCAAGGTCTTGCCCAATCCATCACGTCACATCGGAGCAAACCGGAAGGCGTGAAAAGTTCCCAGTTTTTTTTTTCCATCAGTACGGTTAATTAGCAGCAGCGATCGCATCAACGTCGACGATGTTTGTCCTCTGAAGGAGTTTCTGTTTTTTTAGGGAGACTGATATAGTTTTGCGTGACCGACCTTGACTCATCTGGACTGAGAGATCGGGAAAACCCGGAAAACAGAGAAGTCAGTGAGAGAAAAATATTGTTTTGAACAGGAAATTTTGACAGCTTTTAGTTCTAGTTTTAGCAAATAAACATCTTCGAGTTTTAGTAAGATTTCTACTTCACTTGTAACACAGGTAGATATCTAGATCTTTTCAAAGTGCCGAAGATTAAAGGTGAATATAGACAGTAATGTACACAAAAAAGAAGGAGGAGAGATAAGGCCCGAGAACGTGTGGTAGTAGAGACACTAAAATATAATTAAATACTCTCTGGTGGTAGGAAAGAGGGAGACAACCGCAGAAGAGCATCCCACAAACCACCACCGACTTTGACAACAATGTCAGCGGTGGCTTACGTCCATGATGATGTGATGATGATGATGATGATGATGATGATGAAGCAGAAGACCCGAGTTCGATTCCCGTGTGGGGTGAATTTTTAAAAATAATATAGTATCCCGGTCTTTATTCTGGGGCGTTTTATTTCTCTCAGGCTGGGTTGGCCCTGATCGACAAGGTCGGAGCCTGCCCCCTAAATGATCTGAATTGTGTCTATTGGCGCCGAAAACATCTACACATAAAAGGCTCAATGGCATGGTTCCCACCAGCGTTACCCATTGAGAGATTTGAACAGCACCAACTGAGCTATGGGCACGATCATAGGGTAGTAAAAAATCTCACACAGCATGAAAAAGGTGCACTCAGGACTAAAAACAAAAAAGCAAAAAAAGACCAACAGAAAACTGAAGGCAGAGGAGCCGTAAAACCTTTATGTTCTTCTTGGTAAAACAGCTGCAGAGTTTTATCACACTCAAAGCTTAAAGTGCAGTAACAAAGGAAAAAGAATTCACCTTCTTCAGACACCCCCACATCCCACCCCCAAACTTCTTTTACACACACACACACACACA